GCTCCAAATTTTCTTTAACTGAGAGTCTCCAGACTGATCTGCGAGTGAAACCTTGAAAGCTCGCGAGATCAGGAGGGTCACACGAGGCTAAGTATATAAAGCACTGCAACTTTTTTCTTAAAATCCATGTAATTTACCTGACATGCAAACTGCTGTTGCTTGCCAGGGACATTTCTGGCATAATGTCAGGTGAGAAAAAGTAAAAAAAAAATTTTCTTGTTGTTCCTGGTTCAGCCCATGCAGGGATGGATGGATGGATATATTGATTGATAGGTAGATAGATAGATTGGTTTGTTGATTGATTGACTTATTGATTGATTGATTGTTTGTTTGTTGGTTGATTTGCTGGTTTGTTGGTTGGTGTGAATGCACCTTAAGACTTGAAATGCCCCATAATGGATCAAAAGTAGTTATTTTTACATGCACAACATTTAATAGTTTGAAATATGTTTGAATTACATAAAAAAACTAATCAGTTTGCTCCACTTATTTGGACATGAGTAATAGGGATCCAAGGACGATTAGACTTCCTCCATTTACTCTAGCACAGACACTTTCAGCCGCTGTCATCAACCCAATCCAGTCGTATTATTCTGACAGAAATGTTTACAATACAAATTTTGTTAGCATTTTGTTAACAGTTTATTCCAATTACTTATGCCCATGAAAACATTGCTACAGCACAGTTTGAATTGAATTGCCTATTGTACACATTTTATTGGATAATTGTATTTTTTTTTTTTGCAGAATAGGTGATTTGTTACTCTAAAAAAGCAACAATAAACCATTCAGAAAATGTTTTTGCTATTTCTGTTAGCAGTAACTGGTGTAAAAGTATATAAATGGATGCAAAAATATCTTCAGTGTGAATCTGGGAGTGGTAACAAGATCTGAAAAAGCCTCTTGGAAAATATAAGCAGCTCTGTGTGAAACCTATATGTCTATGAAAGTGTAAATAAAACCTGGCAGTACTTGTGCATTTTGAATGCACGAATCACCTTCACAGCATCACACGTTATTTTCAGAAGTGCTAATTGGGAAGAAAAGGCTTAGCATGCGTGTGAATGTAAATTAGTTGTGAACGCTCTCATAGGAAAATAGTAGCTGGTGATGAAGGAGTCCACAAGTTTGAGCATAGGCTCATTTAGAGATGCAACAACTTCAGTAATGAAAGGGTAATTCACTTTTATTAAAACATCAAAGAGGAACAGTGTCACATGAGACAGGGGTGTAACAAGATTATAAGGTTTTTCAAGGTTTTCAGTCTGAGGTATATTAGATGTGAACAGTACTTGAGGTGTAAACACTTCTTAATACGTCATCATGTTAGAATTAACTTTCATTTGAATCCATGTGAATCTTTATTTAGTTCACAGTTTTATTGATATATAACAATATTTAAGTTTTTCTGTTTAATATTCTATACAGCTTATCTGTATCTTTCAGCATTCAAGGCCCTAAATTTCCATCTGCAAAACTAAATCTACAAAAATGTAGCCATGCACTATCTGTGTGTGCAGTAATGACATTCAAAATTAAATGTAACTTTTATGCAGAGATACAGTATAGCCCCTGTATGGGCGGAGAGAAAGTTGTGCTTATATAAAATCTAATCTGTTTTTTTATAGGATAACGTAGATCTTGGAGAGCTGATGTTCTCTCTGTGTTATCTCCCTACGGCTGGTAGACTCACCATCACCATAATCAAAGCCAGAAACCTAAAAGCCATGGACATCACCGGGGCCTCAGGTGGGTGCTGGTTAAAATTGCTTGATGTTCCCATTATAAAGTGATGCTTTATGGTGGATTTTTTTATCAAAAGTACACAGATATGTATACACATGTATAATTGTGATCGATCTATCTATCTGTCTGTCTGTCTGTCTGTCTGTCTGTCTGTCTGTCTGTCTGTCTGTCTGTCTGTCTGTCTGTCTATCATCTATCTATCTATTCATTTACTGGTTTTCCATGTGATTCTGCATGCAGGTAAAAAAACAAAACAAACTAACATGACCGAATCATCCAGCCAGCCTGACCCAGCAGATGAAGCAATTTACAGAAATGTTTCAGGAATTACTTAAGAAAACGACTCCCACGGGGTCTACCCCTTCTACAACCAGTGCAACTGCAGCTCCTGAATGAACTACTCCTCCAACTGTTCATTTTCATTGTGTCAATTTTCCACTCCCGAGTCTTATGCAGGTGAAATTGGAAGGTGTCGTGGATTTCTGTTACCACGTTCAGTAGTTTTCAGGTGATTCCTCAGGTCTTTGTTGTTTTATATAACCTCATTTGTGTTTGGATTGTTTAGAAGCAAGATTTAGATGGGAGTTGGGATGCCAAATTTCCTTTGACCAGTTTCTCTGAGTTCAAACAGACATTCAGATATACTATGTCAATTTTCTGATATTTCTCGTAAGATATGGAAATGAAAACCACCAGTGTAAGACTTTGCCACTGAGTTTCAAACTCTAGTAGCATCTTCAGTGTGGAATCCTGAAGCTTTAAAGGGAGCTGTTTCTCAAACCTTGGATAAAGGAATTAAGGATGAGCGTGCAGAGAGGAACTAATCTCCTGAGCTATTTGCATTGACATCAGATTTCGAGAGAGAATATGGGCAAAACAACGGAATAATTTACCTCTTCCACAATCTCTTCATCCAGATCAGTCAAAAGCTTCTGACAATTTCTTGCCAGATCTGGTGGAACTGATGCAGATTGGTTGTAGGACCAACAATGCCGGATGAAAACTTGACTCTACCCAAAGCAGCTTAAAGGGTCCTTTCCCTGGTCCCTTCCTTACCCACTGTAAAGAAGGGACCAATAGGCTGTTTAAGAACAGATCATTCCACATGAAATTACCCTGATGTCTCCTGCTGACCCAACCATTTCTCTGCTCTTGTTTTACCCTCTCAAAACCGACCGTTTTACAGCATTTACAAATAATAACTCAAAATGTATGAAAATTACACTGGTAAAATGTTTACCAATATAGACATCTAGACACCGTTGGAAAGCTTAGATTCTCCACAATTCAACCACCTAGTTCATTTTATGGACATAGCAAGCACCAAAGCACAATGAACACAGATATAGCAGCATGTCAAAATGTACCTTGACAAAGCAGCCACAACAAGCAAGCATGTCTTTATAACTGCTGTTCAAAAAAGGCCTATTATTTTCGAGGATTAAAAAAAACAACAACTTTGAGTCATGTTTGATCTGATGCAGTTTGGGCTTGATGCAGCTCTAGATGGAAGTCCTATGCATGCATTCACGTACCGAAAAGAACCATTAAGACTTCTGGTGTTAGGTAATTATATTGAAGAATTTTTTTGTTTCCTTTTTTTTACCCAATCTCGGAAATTAGAGTTGAGTCATGGAGTAACCACTGTCTGTCAAACCGTCTACAGTCTTCTGTCTAATATTCTCAAGAACAGGAAACTGCAGTATACCTGAGTATCAAGACCTTCTCCTGGTTTTCAGTGACTCTAAGGCTCTCTCTTTCCTGCCTCATTGTCTATATGACTGTAATATTGTGCTACTTACTGGAGCCCCTATCCCTTCCAGTAGGTGATATAACCTGTCCAAGCCTGAGAGAGTACTATGAAGAACAAAAACGAGTCATTAGCTGCTGGTATTATCTGCACCTCTACCTCACCTGGTGGAGAAAGATTTTTCTTGAAAAGGATGGATCATTAGGAACCTCAGTTGATTAAAGGGACACCCCCAAGGTGATTTTGAATATCTGGTAATGCCTATCGTTTTCACAAATGTCCCTGCAGTTTTCCAGTCCATTGTGAATTATGTCCTTAAAAATATTTTAAATCAGTGTATATTCTATAGCCTTATGAAATTCTGACATTCTCCAGGCCCTTATCCGAACAAATTCATGTGTTAAGTTCTCCAAAGTTTTCTAGAGTACAAACTCTTTGCCAAAGCTGAGAAGTATACGCTTCATGCCACATCAATAACCATTCTGGGAATCATTCTTAATTGCGGGCAGGTGAAGACAGATCCAGGAAAGTTTCAAGTCATTCTCAATTGGCCTACTCCCTCAACTCACAAGCAGCTACAACATTTTTTAATCTTCTACCACAGATTCATTAAAAGCTAGAGTCAAACTGCTCAAGCCCTAGCCTTATCTCCTTCAAAAGACCTTTAATTTGGTCCCCTAAAGCCAAAGAGCCTAACCAATGCCCAAGTTGATGCCTCTGATTTAGGGGTGGGTGAAGTCCTTTCAATAATTTTCTCTAAGGATAATAAACTTCACTTTTTTACCCCCTTAAGTGGGGGTAATAATTCCGAGTGCATATAATTCCACCTGTACAATTTCTACCAGCAGATGGAGCCATTGTGCGCAGCTCCAAGCTGATACCAACAGTTCAAGCCCTACAGCTCTGGAACTGTTATAGCTAGAGGCATTTGTGGTTGAAATGAGGTAGAACATATATAATACAATAAAACCTGCATTTTCTCAAGAATGTCTTTTTTACTGCTGTTCAAAAAGGACCTATCCTTTGCGAGATAAAAAAAACAACAACTTTGAGTCATGTTTGAAGTAATGTAGGTTGGTCTGTGTTCTAGTCACCAAATTTTAATTAATATATTAGGGAACTAGATGGTGTTAGCTTTCAAATAATGTATTGCACATGTAATTTGGGCTTACAGTTCCTAAGTTATTTGCTTTTTCTTTTGGGTATGCAAAATAGGCGAGGATTACCCAAAATGAGGTGGATGTTAAGAGGTTAACTTTATCATCTTCTTCCAGACTCAAACCTGATGCCTGTGTAGGCAACACTCCAGTGACAATAAACCCAATTTCTCAACCGTCATTCAGGGTTCCTGCGTGACGGTTCCTGCTGGAGGCCTTATCGTGGGAAATAAAGGATCAAGTCCTGGATGCTGAGTTTATGTTCCTGCTTCAATTAGGTGCTGCTTCATTCACTGGGCCCACACAGAAAAAAAATCTCCTTCCTTCCTCAAATCAACTGAACTCTTATCATCCTTAAGCTAATTTGCTGGTGGCCAACAATATGAAATGATGTTAAAAGTTATTTTCTACCCTGTCCAGTGTATGCCTGCAACAAAGCTAGTCACCAGCCTCCCAGTGGTCTTCTTTAACAGTTGCCTATCCCTTAATGTCCGTTGTTTCATATTGCTTTGGATTTCGTTACTTGACTGCCACTATCTAAAGGTTTCACCACTTTACTCAATATAATCGACCGCTTCTCCAAAGCCTGCCATGTCATCCCTGCTTTGTCGACTTCAATCCTCATTGACACAGCTCAGCTCCTGAGGTATGTTTTTCACCTTCATGGAATCCCTCATGAAGTCCTGGAAACAAATCGATGCTTGGCTAATTGGAGAAGGATTCCTGCTTCCCAGTACTCACCCAGACAAAGGGTTTACCTATCAACTCGCGACATAAACCTAAAGGCTTCTAATCACAAACTGTCTCCCAGATCTGTTGGTCCATTTAAAATCCAGGCAGTGCTCAGTCACCTGTTTTTTGCCTCAAGCTGAAAATAATTGAAAGATTCATCCTGTTTTTCATGTCTCTCTTATCAAGCCTGTCCTGTCTAGTTCTATTTACCCTCTTCCAGTCCCCCTCCAATCGCTCGAGACATTGGCAAGCACCCGGCCTTCCTTGTGCGTGGGATTTTGGATGCTCATTGCTGAGGAAGGGATTTTCAGTATCTGGTCAAATGGGAGTGTTATGGACCCGTGGAATGGTCTTGGATCAGTTGTTCTTTTATTTTGGGTTTTGACCTTGTTCAAAACTTTTGGGCTTTGCACAATTCCTCCTCTGGACCGCCAGGGTACGGTCCTTGAAGGCTTGGTAATGTTAGGGTCTCTTGGGTGTTTCTAGTTTTCTGGTGTGAATTAAGTTCCTGTCACAAAGAGGATTTTTGCTACTGGTTGAGCCAATCCGTGTTGCTGCACACCTAAGGACATTTCTCAATCGAGGTCATTAGCGTTTGTAAAAGATCACCTCTTTGCCAGATGATCACACCTGATGGTTTGCCAGTCAAAAACCTGGAAACCAGGAATATCTATCTTGTTGAAATTTTTCTTCTTGTAAATTTCTTTAATGTGGACTCTGTTATTGTTCCAGTAAACCAATGAACCTCTGTTTGTTTCTGATCTTCATGGCAAAGGTCTTATCTGTGTGTATCAGATCTCAGTCTTCATCGCATTCCTGCCCACTCTCCAGCACAATGTCTCTTGCAAGTAGCAAAGCTCTTGGATCTCCTGGGCCTATAGGCTACAGTCTGCAAAGTCTGCTGAATCAAACCCCTCCAGATCCATGCTATCTTCCCTTCACCACTCAAGTAAACAAATCAATCAATCATCAGTTGTCATCAACCAACTCCATCCTGATTAGTCAATTTTCTCCGCTCAGACCAAGTAGAATGTTTAACTGACTTCCTGCAGATCTCCGTTTCCAAATCCTTGCTGTTTTTCTAAATAAAATGTTAAAATTCACTGGTTCTCTGCGTGGCTCTGTATGTTTGTTAAAAAACTAAAAACCAAAATGTGGCATTTTTTCGCTTTTCATACCTGTTTCCGTCAATTAAGCTAGAAACTGAAGAAAGACACAAAACAGATACAAAGTGTTTATGGGATGTGAACATGTATTATTATTAGAAAAACCCTTTCGCAGTGTTTATTGAATTACTTTGTAAAAATATATATAATCTGCAGCTCTTATTTTTTTTGTATTTAAAAGTCATTTATTCCTTCAGATAACATTCATTTATGATCTCTTTTTTTTTTAGATCCATATGTGAAAGTGTCCTTGATGTGTGAAGGAAGGAGGCTAAAGAAAAGAAAGACTTCAACCAAGCGCAACACACTGAACCCTGTCTACAATGAAGCAATTGTGTTTGATGTTCCTCCCGAGAATATCGATCAAATCAGCCTCCTCATTGCAGTTATGGATTATGATCGGTTTGTACATTTAGAGCTCCCTTTCAGGCCTAATCACAAGATAAAAGATAACAGATCCAAGAAATGGCACCGTTTTCCCTTTCTGTCCTACAGGGTTGGACACAATGAAGTGATTGGAGTGTGCAGGGTGGGTAATGAAGCTGAAAGCCTTGGGCGAGACCATTGGAATGAGATGTTAACATATCCCAGAAAACCCATCGCACACTGGCACCCTCTCATCGAGGTACGGCTTCTTTCAGACCTTTGGTGTAAAACTTATCTTTGCATATTCTAATACTCATAATCTTAAGTTATTATCCCTACAATATAGCCTTTTGCTGTATCATTTGAATAATAAAATAGCAGAATTGTTAAATGTTTTGGCAAACTAACATTCTAATCATTGCTTAACAATCATCAGGGGTTCCTTACATAGAAAACTTTTATCCAATTCATGAGAATATGATAGAATCGTCTCTATAAAGTGCCTTGAGATAATATGCTGTGAAGTGGTGCTGTAGAAAAAAATGGAAATGAATTAAACAGGAAGCAAGCTGGTATAAACGGTGATCAACAGTAGAAGATTACATGCCAGATGGATGAAAATAGATGTAAAATTTGCACTGCTGGGTTTATTTTTTCTCAAAACAATCCCCCAAACGGCCAAATTGACACACTATCATGGTCTGTTGTGTTTCGCAAAAACATTTTTTCTCTTGTTTTCCACCACCTACCTCTTGCTTTTTCAAAACTTTTCATTTTTTTCTTTAACTACATATTTCTTGATGTCATGAAATCCTTAGTGAGTAATTAAAACTTAACGGTGTCAGAACTAACTGTGCACCAGGAAGCTATTCTCCCTCGCACGTTCGCATCATACACACCATGTTTTATTATTAGCAGTTAATGTAAAATATTTTGGATATTTTTTTCCAGGTGTTGTAATCACATATTGTCTTTAGCATGGCCGACGGTCAGCAAAAGTCAATAGTTTAAAGGCGGACAGCCTGTGTCCCACTGTTTGTTGCATATATTGTGAAATACACCATTGTCAAAACAAAATCCTGTTTGTTACAGTAAAGCCAAAGTTCCATTTGCATCTGAGCTTAAAATCATCTGAGCATTAAATTTTACATTAAAGGAGACATTCTTAATGATTAATTCAGCCTCGTATGGGAACTGAGACATTTATTCCTGATGATACAAGAAGATATATCTACAGGCAATGATAAGCTGTTCATCCATTCAGTGCTTTAATTGACAACTTTATTTCTATGGAGGTGTAGCGGTATACATATTCTATATATTTTCTTTGCTAAGTCATATTTCTTCTTAGATGTGATCTGAGATGTTAAAAGACTGAAACTTAGGGAAAGTAAATTAATCTGAATATCATTTGTATACTTTCTACTCCTTTCATTAATGCTGTTATTGTCCTGTGATCGCTTTAATATCAGACACCTCACTACAGAAGTGACTTTGATGAATACTTTCCAAATAAATGCATCTGTTATCCAATGTTAATGTGTTATAAGTAGATATAAAAAACAACAAATAGGGCAAAACCAATTACATAACAACGATACTGCATAACCCTCATGTTTACTTCACTTGTTTTGCTGTTATTACCACAAACAAGCCTGTGTTATCAAAACCAGAGAGAGAGAGAGAGGTGGCTACATTCATGCAGGGTTTTCTATTTTTGACTTCCCATCCCACACTTATTTTTAAAAAACAGGGCATGCTAAAACAGATGCTAGACTGATTCATGTAAATTCACATAGACTCGTCAACACTTATTTTACTGGTATTCAGCTAAAGGGGTCAGAAGCTAAAAACACCCCATGGTTGGTTACTGTACCATTGAGAAACATCTTTAGAATTCTTCTAAAGCCAAAGCTTAATAGTCAAGGTTCCCTGGGTTGTTTGACTTGCTGTTGCTTTAATACAATGTGCCTTGTTATTTTGATAACTTCTGGGCAATTTTGCTTATTCTTTTCAAAGTGTGTAGATCCAAACCCTTTCTCAGATAAATCGTTTTTTTACTCATCAACAGCGTCTGCTGCTCAATATTACAAAGGAAAGAGAATTCTGGAATGTTATTCTGCTCCTAATGAAGATCCAGATTTTATTGGCAACAATTATAGCATTCTTTTCTGAAAGGCCGCATTTAAAAAGAAATAATCAGTTGGTACCGACACTACCACTATCTATGTATTTTATGTGGCAGGCCTTGACAGCTTCTTCCAGTTAGAGCACTCGAAATTATTGTGCCCGCTTAAAATATTTAAAACATTTACTTTAGAAGCATTTTAACATAAATATTTGAAATCCTTCTTGCAAGAATAAACCATTTAAAGTTACATTGCTTTTTGATCCCAAATTATCTTAATGCTGTAGCACCAAAGAAAGCAAAAGGTTTTTTTAGGATTTGAAGGTTGTTTATGTAGAGAGAGCATTACGTTGTAGGAAGGTACTTCTCATTAACCCGTTCCCAATCTTATAAGGACACATTAACTGACCAACAAGATCCTGACATTTCTCACACCACACAAATATTTACCCAAAACTTCTCTTTTGATTGTATGCACTGCATGAACAACGTTATTTTGGCAGAGGTGTTGAGTATCAATACTTGGTTACTGTTCAAGAATGTGCAGTTGGTAACTTTATAAAATAATATTTCTTTTGTCAGTCTCTGAAACTAGATAAATCTCCTCTACCTCCTCACAGTGTTCTCACCGCCTTTGGCAGAACCACACCACCCTAATACCCCATTTACACTACCCTTGAAAAACCGATCCATGCCGAGACCGGTTTGAGCTCGGATCACTTAACCAGGCCGAGCTTGGTTCCGCCCTCATAGCACGGCCAACTGAATTACAGTACAGTAGGAGCCATTCAGGTACAGTAGCAAAAACATTCCCCCCTTCCCTTCATGGGCCCTTGGCTGGTCCCCTACAATTCCTTTTTAAACATCAGTCTTTGTTCTAAAATATTCTTTCTGTCATGATTTGCGGACATTAAGATCTATGTAAAGAGAAGCGCCATCTCCTGGTCAGACCCTGCAATTTAGTGAAAGGGGAGTCAGATTTAAAAAAATATGCATGCCCAGGAGAAGGAGGGGGTCACTCCAGTGGCTGGAAGTTGGAGGGGATTCTGCTAGGAGCTGCAGGGAGATGAGCTCTCATTTGACTGGGAAGCGCCATTTTGAATGCCTGCTACTGTATTTGTGGACGAATCCTGCTTTTGAAGCAGAGCTATGAGTATATGATCGGATTTACCTGAACCTCACGCACTGTGCATGTGCAAGCTAGGGATTTCTTCTTCTTCTTCCAGATTGACGAGTCCAACCAGTGCCATCCCTTGACTGGGGGGGATGAAGAGTTGGAACATATTGTTCCTCTGCATGCATACACAGCTCATTTAACAATAGAAGCACATAAATAGGAAACCTCTATTCTTCAATGCAACTCATTTTGATTCATATAGCACCAATTCATAACACATGTCATCTCAAGGCCCTCTGCAGAGAGAATTCAATTAATTCATACAGTCTCGTAAAAAGTTTCTGTTCTGTACAGCAATACACTGAACATGCATGTTAAAAGATAAGAAGTTTTTGTTTCACTGATTCACTGAAGAAGCACTGTGAGTCCAATAGTTTAAAAGCTAGAGAATCCTCAAGATCATGTTTTTGGACTTTGGACTGCATTTGTGTAGCATTACATTTTTAGAGCCCCAGCTCTGATTCTGCACAATTTTCTCCAGCTGGTTAGAATAAAGTGATAAAATGTATTCATATTCTTCTGATATTTGATAATTATAGTGTTTTAATTTGAATTTGCTGCAGAAATTCAAGGACAAGTGCAAAGTTTAAGTGAATTAAGGGAGTGAAAAACAGTACATTACATTTACCAGAGTAATTTTTACAGTCATCAGTATTTCTACTTAAGCAAAGAATGTTAATACTTTTGACAATAACTAACAACAAAGTGAAGATTTACAAGGCCCAGTGGTGTAAACACCAATATATTACATTTTGCTAAATGTGCATAAAACCCGTATCTTTGGTTCAGTCTAACTCTCAAACTAGTGCATAGAAAAGAAGTCCTCCTAAAATACATCTGTAAAACAACAAAGATTGCCAACATTTAAATTAGTTTAGTAAAGCTTGAATTTAGGGCATAGGTGAGAAATTCTAACCGTTTGGCAACAGTGTCCTGCGTATTTCAGATCTGTCTCTAAAACAACTGAAGAAGAAGCTCTTTTTTCTTCATTGTTACCTTGAGTGTTTTCAAGTATGAAACTGGCTGCTACGCAGTATTACATTCTGACAGACCGAAGCTGTTTATCATGCAGGTTATGTTAAAAAAACAACAAAATGAAAGCAGCGGTTGTTTCACTTAATAACAAAAACAAGCAAACAACCAGCCAGCTGGAGTGCGGCTTAGTTTAAGGAAATAAAGAAAGGCTGCTTCCCAACATGTAGAATTTTTTTTTTCCATGCAAATTCTCTGTTAGTTTTAGATATGGTTGATTAAAAAAATAATAATAATCAAAACAGTTAAAGATCCTGTTTGATCCTGCTTATTTATTTAATAGATTTACCACCATGTAGTTAGTTGATTAAAAATTGCGAATATAATAAAAATATGCTGTATGAATATAAAGCGGCAGAAGCAAAAAAGGGCAGAAAGTTATCTTACTGAAATTACTTTATTAATCCACTTATTTTGGTGCTTTTATGCTTACTTAACAAGTGTAAATTTGTCAAAAAAAGGCAATTATGACACTGTGATCAACATTTCAGGTGGGGCCAATATTTCTTTGTGGGCACACCAGTGGAAAAAATGCTGTAAAATGCAGTAACATTTTTACCATGTGCTTAGAGTTGCTGAGAAAACATTCTAATGTCCATAATATTTCTTTTTTATGTATCCGTGTTACTAATGTCAACTTAATTGCCATCTGGGAATTCTAGCATCTTTAAACATCTTTGTATTTGTTTTCTTTTTTGTTTTTTTCTGAAGCCTAAAATTAAATCTTCATGTTATGTCGAAACTGTAATGTTTAGAGAGCTTTATCTGATCTACTGATACTACAAATATGCAGACTCCTTTACTGCATATCTCATTTCCCTTTTTCTCCATTCGTTATAAAGACAGAAGTCTGTGCAACTAAATTTCAATGAAGACTGGATCCCAAACCGACTCTTTACCACTAACTCTTAACTATCAATTG